CCCCAAAACCCCAAAACCCCAAAACCCCTTCATCCGGTTATATAATTGAAGAAGGGTGAAAATATTATGACTTTTATTAAAATTTTAGAGATAAACTCCAGGATTTTATACAGAATTTTAATAGATTAAGACTATCACCAGTTGTATCGATCTAGACACATCAACGATCTCTTAGCTTAAAAATATCATCGTGGGCACTACAGAGATTCAGAGATGCCAATTCTACAGTACAAAATCTCAAGACCTCTACTTTCCCAACCTCTTAAATTCTCTTAAGAAATCTCTACTGGTTTTTTAGGAATTTTAGCCTGGATTTAGGAAGGGTTTTTGAGATTTTGGGGGGAGAGAGGGAGGGTTTGGGGGAATTTGGAGGTGAGGTTTTTGGAGGGGGTTGGGGGTTTTGGGGTGGAAGGTGGGTTGGTGGAAGGTTAGAGATAGAAATCTTGATTCTTGGAAGGATAAGTTTTGGGGGCGTTCTGTAGAATAGAGGGCTGTTCATATCTGTAAAGAGTAAAAAACTTCTCATGACTACAAGGCTTTCGGAGTTTACTCATCTAAGATTTTTTTGTATGAAAATTATAATTTTCACAATTCGATAATTCAGTTTGGGAGATTGGAATAAATCTGGTGCTGCCAGGCTTCTTCATAAGTCTTTTCGTTTACTATAGTTAGTATGTAAATACAAAATTCTTCTTGGAGAAATTACGGAACTTCTAGATAGTGTGCTAGACAACAAAGCAAAAGGACTCTGAGCTGCGAATTCTTTTCGTTCTGGGTCTAGTTGGTCGAGTATTTGGAATTAGGCTATTTAGAACCATTTTAATATCAATTTAACTATTTTCACCAAAATATCTCTTATTTGTACAGCTGATAGTTAGAAAATATATGAAAATGCTTCTAGTTGAATTCGTTATTCGGATCAAATGAGCACTTTGCCGGAAGATTTAGAAAAGGCTAGGGCTTTTGATAAAATTAATTTAGGATTTCATCGCAGTTCATTAAAAATTACCCTATTTTTGCCCATATTCCTATTAACTTTAGTAATTTATTTATTTAGCTTGGAGTGCAGAAGCAACTTTTGAGCCTTGCTAGAGGAATGCTCGTTTAGTGTCTTATAAACTATCTCTTCATCTGCGCAAGTTTAGACAATTTGAAATATTCCAGAACTTTGTATTAATATTGTTACTCTTAATGCTACATTACTTCATGCATGTTTAATTAAAGTCCGAGGGAAATAGTATAAATGGGCACTAAAAAAAGATAACTCAGTAGAAGTCATAAGTGTGCCTTCTAGTTAGCAAACTAGGACATCATTTTTGCCTAACTCAGAACAAATTTTAGTGTTTGAGAAGATTTCCTTAAAAATTCACTGACAGTGCTTTTCAGAGCTTTATTAATTATCGATACTTGTATATTACAATATAGTGATTTTCAAGTTTGAGAGAATGAACAGAAGCCATCAGATTTCTAGTACTTGTTAGGGCTGAATTAGTATGGAATAGAGGTTACCAGAAGCACTCTTCATAACAAGATGGCAAGCTTGGTATTGGTACTTCTAGAATAATCTTCTTAAAGTGCCAACTAGTTGGGTGGTAAGGCTTTCAAAGCTGAAAAAATTACTTTTATTAGCCCTATTTTAATAATATCACTTTTTGAAAATAGTGATAATTTCATAAAATTGGTGAAGATTTAGGTCTGGTGATAACTTTAAGAAGTAAAACGATGAGAAGAAATATTGGATTTCTCTAATCTTTGTCCAAAGTAGGTATGCTTGATAAGGCTCTAAATCCAGTCACCTTCTTTTTATCCTGGGCTTAAATTTCTCACCCGATCGACTTATCAGATTCTTAAGCTCATGAAATGGAGATATGAATTTTCTAATGTTTTAAACCAAATAATTAAGTTAGCAATCGTTGAGGATCATTTCTAATCCGATTCTGTCATCAGAGTCCATTTGGAGAGCATCGACTTTGTTTGCATATAGTTTGACGAAGAATCTGAAGTATTTGTTCCTGACTAATCTAGTGAACTTGAGATAACTGTATCTGTACAAGGTATCATAAAATTCATTGTCTTCTTTACCTCCTACTGCTTTAATTAACATCATATCACCAAGGGTCTTCATCATCGGTACACTGGGGGAGGGAAACTTAAGCTCATGAGTAAGGTAGACTCTGACACAGCTGTAGAAAAAGTCTTCAGCATCGAAGGATCTCTTCCTACTATTGTACTTGGTAAATTTGTTAAAACCTTTCCAATAGAACCCTTTGACCTTTCGAAGTATTCTCTTAATGATGACGTCTTTTCTTTTAGTGAGGCCGGTGTACTCCTTCTTTCTTCCTGGCTTCTTACGAGTTTTAGTCTTTGGCTCCTGCAAAGTCTCCTCTAGTTTATTAGTACAAGAGACAGCAGAATTTTGGGGAGAATAACTTTGTGGTGCTTTTGCAGCTAGTTCTTGGTTATAAAGCCTCACTTGCTCAGCAGGGATGAGTATCGTTGTCTCTTTGCCAAATTCTTCGTTATGATGATAAAGGTCAAGGCTAGAGTCGTCACTGAAATCATCATCTTCTTGTTGGTCACTGGGTTTGTACATTTCAATATCTTCAGGTTGACCATTTTCTGGCTCAATATCTTCTTGAGAGTCCATTTCGTGACCTGCCAGACTGTCGATATCAAAGTCATCAAAATTACAGCTCATGTTTACCATCTGTGGATGTAAGCTTATAATCTGGGGGACCTCTGAGTCCTTAGTTGGCGAACTAGTGTTACTTATTTCTATAAATAAGGTTATTCAGATTTTAAGAATATTTTCAAAATTGATCCTTAATAATATACTCAAATTAACTTTTAAGATCTTTAATGACTTTTTAGGTCGGCAGGTCAGCCTTATAACTTGATTATCAAGGAACTATCTATGTCTGGACTTGCTGGATCTTTTAGAGACTTTCAACAGTGAATATTGTAGATAAATTTATGAACTTCGCCAAATAAGCTGCCTAAGAAATGCCATCCATTTTGTATACACATTTTGGAATTCGAGCTTCAGATATCGAGGGATCCCTCTAAGTTTGAACTTTTAGCAAAATTTGATACGAATTGATAAGCTGGAGGAATTTCTTAGGAAAATCTAGCCTTATTGAAGCGTTCACAAGGGCTAAACTTTAGTGTACTAAGGACTAACTAGAAACCTGTGCAGTGTTAGAGGAGATTTAGATATTTAAATTATTAGATCTCTTTATTTTTAGTTTTAAGCTAATGTTAGTTCATTCATTGGTAAAAGGTGCTATATTGAACTTGAAATCGAAGTGCTTATAGTAATTTTATCCCTATTTAAATTAACCTGCACAATTTATATCCAGATTAGCCTGCTCTAAAGTTAGAAGTGATATTTTATAACTAATTAGGTTTTCACTCTAATTCAGTACAAGTCTTCAGTAAGCCAAAATTTCTAGAAATTCTTTGGCATTTTCATAGCACCTCACCTCTATTGAGGAGGGCTAGCTTACCTGGTTGAACATAATTTTGGGATCTCTCTAGTTCCTCTAAATCTGTCATTTTGGTGATGAATTAATTATTTATTTATCACTAAATTTCGATCTTAAATCCTAATTTCGGGGTTTTGGGGTTTTGGGGTTTTGGGGTTTTGGGG